TGGCCTAGTCTTGCCAGATATTCCTAGGCATGGATAAGAGAGCTTGAGAATGGATCTCACGGTGGGTATTACTGGAAAACTCCTCTCGTTACCCTTAGACCTTCCCTGTCCACTCTGAAAGGTCCCTGATGACTATGAACTGTCTGTGCAGGAGGGGTGGGCTGTAGGATGGAGAATTGCAGGTACCTAGGAATGAATGAAGGTGCTTCATTAAAACATGAACATCCTAATCCCAGGTTCACCAGCACTTGGTCCTAAGCCTTCCTTCCTCATGTCATACAGTTTGGATAATACTGTCCATGTTTATGGCAGCCCTTGCCCCACACGCCAGTGGAGTACCTGTGCCAGGGCAGACTGGTGGGGGAGTCAGCAGCACAGCTGGGCACCTGGGTGCCAACATTCCACCTCTGCCCCTCGGAGCTTTAGTCAAGGAGAAGAAATGGTCTCAGTGGCTCAGGGCTCTGTGGCTATTAGAGACTATGTGGCACCTTTAATATTTCCTGGAGCAAAATCTACTCTCCTTGCAAGCAGCCTAATAAAAGTCTCCTGGCCTTAAAAGGAAGGCACTGTTGGAGGTTGCTGCCTGTGTTAGTCATTAGGGCTGGTCACAGATATTCAATTTCTCCTCCTTTGAGCACACAGTGGGATGGGTACCTCCCTGCTGCCCTTGAAGTTCAGTGTGACATGCCACTTGCTGTGGCCAATGAGATGTCAGCAGAAACAACAGGGATCGCTTCCAGTAGAAGCTTTAAGAACCCATGTGTGATTCACTTGCTCCCTTTCCCTGCTTCAGTGGAAGCAGAAGTTGAGGTGCAGCTTCTATCAGCCTGGGTCCCCGAATGAGCAGAATACTTACTACATTACACAGGGAGCATAAGCATAAGACAAACTTTTGTTCATGTCATTAGGGATTTGGAGGCTCTTTGTTCATTAGGATCTGGGGGCTCTTTGTTCCTGCAGCATGAGCTACTAAGGCCTGACAGATACAGTGGCCCTGGTCACGTGACCACTTAGCAACCTCCAATTTCTGACTCAGCCTCACTTTTGGCTTCTAGATCTGCACTCTATTTAGTTCAGCTATTGAGGACACACAGTGCACTTACAAGTACTCCAATACAAAGCTGTCCCTGATTTATGGATTAAGACTGATGCCTGCTGCTGAATAGCCCACAGCGACCCAGAAAAACTCTAGATTCTAGTGCCGCCCAGACCCAACACTCTAGTCGTGAAAACAGGTACAATTTTCCCCAATGCACCTAAAAAAATGTCTTCCTATTAAAGAAGACTTTCCCATTATAGCTAGGTTGACCATATAATTTATTGTCCAAAGTGGTTTTGAACGAAGGGGGACTAGGGTGACAGGCATGAACTATCGCTGTCCTGAGTAAACAGGGATGCAGAGGCACTGAAATTCTACTTCTATCGTCTTTACGGTATTAGGTCTATGAGAAAAATTCCTAGACGCATTATCTTAGGACAGATCACCATATCCAGGAAATGCATTTAAAAGCCTAAGAAGAAGCATGTGGAGAAATTAATGTGTTTATCAGACAGTGTACTCTGCTTTTACTATTCTGTGTGGCATTGGACTGAATGAGTGCAGCTGTTTCCCTAAGTAGGCACGTGCAAATAGCAGTAGACTTCCAAACAAAACCAAGAGCCCAATGCAAAATCCAGCCGTAAAGTATGAACACCCTGCAGAAACATTAACAGCGTCTTCCTCCCACTGGTCAGCCTGGGAGTCATTTAAGAGGAAAGAGGACAAAATCAGGAAAACAATCTTAGCAGCAAGAAGAATTGTTTAAAGAAAGCCAAAGTAAATGCAGCTTCGGTGACTATGGGATCCTCTTCTAGGCGTGTGAGACATATTAACGTCAGTAAATATTTTTAAAGAATGCTGAATTTTCTAGGCAAAGTAACAAACACAGTGTAGAAGATGGCTGATTTCTTTAGTCTGCTGCTAGTCTGCATTTTTCCTTTCTTTGTAAAATACCAGGATTCTAATTGCCTTCTTCAAACTTTCAGGGCTTATGGCCAAAAAGTAGATAATAATTTCTGTAGAAGATTCTGTTTTTCTGTCTGTCACAATCCCCTCTTCCCCACCTCCGCTTGCTGGGATGTGTGTTTCCCACCAGAGGGTCGGTCACATGACCTGAGTTAGCCCAACGACCCCCTCAGGCCCTGAACTCAGGTCCAGGGATGGCGACGTGATCCAAACAAGATCACAGGGTGGTTTTTCTGAGATTGAAACCAGCACTAGGCATGCTAGTTTCCTAGGTTGCCATAACAAATTACCACAAACTGGGTGGTTTAAAACAACATAAATTTATTCTCTCACAGTCCTGGAGGCTGGAAATTCAAAATCAAGGTGTGGGCAGGGCCACGCTCCCTCTGCAATCTCTGGGGAAGAACCTTTCTGTGCCTTCCCCTGGTTTCGGGTGCTTTCCCGAAATCCTTGGTGCTCCTTGACTTGTAGCTGCCATCACTCTAATCTCCACCTTGGTAGTCACGTGGCCATCTTCCCTCTGTCTCTGTGCCCGAGTGTTCCCTGTATGTGCGTCTCTGTGCCTCTTCTCTTTTTATAAGGGCACCAGTCATATTGGATAAGGGCCCACCCTCATCCAGTATGACCTCTTCTTAACTTGCACCTTAATTACCATGCAAAGACCCTATTTCCAAATAAGCAAATTCATAGGTACCAGGGATAGGACTTAAACATATCTTTTTTGTGGGACACAATTCAACCCACAGCACTAGATAAGACAGAGTCTTTCTCACTGTGATTGCAAGTTCAAAGCCATGTAAGCCTGCCCATCCACCTGAGAAGTAAGTAAACAGACCCAAGAGATGGAGAAAGAGAGAGAAAAGCAGGGTCCTAATATTATTGAATCCCTGGAATGCAGCCACATCTGAATCCCAGCCCACCTCTTGGACTTCCCAGTAACATGACCAACAGAATATCTTTCTTGTTTATATATAGGTAGGTTGGATTTTGGTCACTAACAACCAAGAGTTCTAATTAATATATGCACCAGTGAATTATGCTATATAATGTGAATTCAAATAGCTCCCCACATCTGGATGGGGAAGAGTGGGTGGGTTATATATGAAAAAGATTAGTCATGAGTTGATAACTGTTGAAACTAAGTGACGGGTAAATAGGAGGTTATTCTTATACGATTATACTATTCTATTTCTACGTACATTTGAAATTTTCCAAAATAAAAAGTTAAATGTTCAAAAAGCCTCCTCCCTTCCCCCCGCCAGGACTCACAATTAAAGTCCAGCACACGTCAGGGCAAACAAAAGAACAGAAAAGGTAGAATCATACATAAACCAGACGACAGCAGGCATCCACAGGGAATATTGATAATAGGTGAAAATATTAGCACAAGTTTTCTTTGCGGGAGGCAAAGGGCTTTTGACATTAGACCTGAGTCTACCAGGCTTGACAGGATCAGGTGGCTGGCAGATGACCTCCCTGAACTAAGCAGAGAGGGTTGGGCAATGGGGCTCCAGCTCCAGGGGAAACAATGGGGAGCACAGTGCACGGCTGGAGGAATCCGCCTTTCTTCCCAGTGAATCACGGCAAAGCAGCTATTATTATCCACAGCCAGCAATAAAGCAAGGGTGCAGCTCAGACAAAATGCTCACTGACACGTACTGTTGTTCTGACACAAGAATATATTTCACAGGTTATGAAACACCCATGATTCTGTGCCTTTAATTTAAGCCAGAGTCACCAGCTCTTCTGAAATCCTGCCTCCCTCTTGGATTAGAGGTTCTCAACCCCAGCTGCTCATTAGAATTACTTGGGATCTTTAAAATATCCTCATGCCCAGGCTGCACCCCAAACCAATTAAATCACAGTCCCTGGGAGTGGTGCCCAGGCATCAGTATTTCTAGAAGGTTCTTCAGCGATTCTAGTGGGCAGTGGTCATGAGACCACTTTGAGAACCCAAACAAGGCCACAGACTCTTCTCTGAAAAAATGCACAGACAAGAATAATTCTGCATCCCACTTCAGAGCAGACATCAATCCTGCCTTCTCCTCCTCGAGGGCTGACATCTAGGCACAACCTTCCACAGTTGGACATTGATTCTGTAATGGAATCCGCACAACTCATTATCAAGCCCTCCCCAGGACAATTTCTCCAGAGCTCGGACATAACAGCCGTGTTCCACACACTGGGTTGTGGCCCAGCCCAGCTGCCCCAGCCACTGCCTTGGGCTGACGTTCAGCTGAACACTGAGGGCAGCTGCACTCTCTCCTCTGGCCAGCATGGCTGTCGGTATTGAACCCCACACGTTTTGCTCGACCCATCACCACTTTGGAGCCTACTTTCTCTGTGATGGGAAGATATATCTCAGAATTGAACACTTCTCAGCCCAAAAGCCATGTTATCATCTGCGCTTCAACAAAGGAAAGTGACTCCAAGATGTAGAACAGCACTGAGAAGCTCTACCAATATCAGATCTTCCATCATTTTGAAAAGGCAGGAACCTTGGTCCCAAGGGCAATGGCTACCTACCACACTTCATCTTTGGAAAAAGCATTCAAGGCTCCCCCAGCACAAAAGCCAAACAACTGTCAACCCTACAACTCTACGTGCTCCCTTAAGCCACCACACCAGCGCTTGTAGCAGGAACCAAGGAAAAGGGAAAACTCCATCCCTGTTCACTCCTCACAACCTTAGCTTGAAACTCTCGCTCTAACCCATTCCACAAACCCTGTCCTGTCTCACTCATCCTGCCAGCCTCAGACACTGCTTGTTTCAGCCAATGCCTCATCCATCTGACTGATGGTCCAGGTGTCACCTGAGCTCCACTACCTTTGGTAAAGACCCCTACCGGCTCCCCCTTGCCCTGGGGGTCACACTTTCTCCCTCATTGTCACTCTAGCCAGGATCACACCAATTCCTCCAGCAATAACCAAAGGGCAACAGGGTTGGAGAACAGACAGAAAATAATTGCTGTGCACAGGGCTAGGGCTATTCTTACCTTCTGCAAACGGTTCCCATTCATAAAACCGGCCCATGAACGGCTTGTTGTTGTAGGATGCACATTGTACCTCCCAGATACTTCTACTGCTTTCTGGACACACCTAATAAAGCAGATATTAAACATGCAATTAGCGTCCATATCTCTTCATGGCCCCAGCCAAATCCCAGGAGACCTCTCCAATGTTAAATGTCAGTCCTCCTCCACCGAAACCTGGGGTTCTACAAATGTGCTGATCACCTGTATCGAAAATTTTAAATGCAGATCCCAAGGCTTCATTCCAAGTCTACTAAATTAGAAACTTTGGAAGGACACTAAAGTTTTCACATGCTCCCCGTGTTGTTTCTCCATACCATAATTTGAGAACCACGGACCCAAACCTGATCCTGACAAAGTGGTCTGCTCGCCTCCCTCAAAGAGGCCGTCCATCTCCATCTGTCTGACTTTGTTCGTGCCATTCCTGTGCGTGGGATAATATTCACAGCAAACATGTACAGCGCTCTTACTAGGTGCAGGCACTATTTTAAGCATATTTCACATATTAACTAACTTAATCTTCACGATGACCAATGTGATTGATATGGTATTTTTAGATTTTTTTTCACAGGTGAGCAAACTGAGGCATGAAGCAGCCACACAGCCAGTGAAGACAGAGGCTGGATTGAACCCCCAGAAGTCTGGCGCCCACCAGGCTCTCTCTCAGTGTCCTCCCATCGTGTCTAAATTCTGGTCTAAATTCTCTCCACCGTCTAAAGCAAGAGCTCCTAGCCTTCGACATGCAAGAGAACCACCCAGAGAGCTCCTGGGAGATGCAAACTCCTGGATCCCTCCTCCAAGGATTATTATTCAGTAAATCTGGCATGATGGTTTCTTTCTTTCTTTCTTTCTTTCTTTCTTTCTCTTTTTTTTTTTAACAAATATCTCTTTTTTAAAAAATTAATTCATTTATTTTTGCTTGTCAATGCAGTGGCTTCTTTTGTTGCACAGCACGGGCTCTAGGCGCGCAGGCTCAGTAGTCGTGGCGCACGGGCTTAGTTGCTCCGCGGCATGTGGGATCTTCCCGGACCAGGGCTCGAACCCGTGTCCCCTTCATTGGCAGGCGGGTTCTTAACCACTGCGCCACCAGGGAAGTCCCATTTATAAATGATAAATATGAGCAAATGTGAAATAAGATCACAATCTCTCCTTTAAAGCTAGGATCTAGCTTTTTAAAACTAGCAACACTCTGCTTAAGTGTAAGGTGTGTGTGTGGTGAGGGGGTGTTTTAATAATCAGACGGGAAAGGCATCTGGCCCCTTAAATATGAAAAGCTCTGTATAGAAGTCTCTGGAGTAAACTGCTAATATGATAGCTCATGTCCTGAAGGATTTAGAAAGAAATCTACTGTATGTATCAGAAACATCAGGTCTCGTGGAAGATGAGGGAACAGAGGGAGAAATGAAACCAGGTGGAAGGAAAAACATCCCCTGCTTGATCAAGGGCACTTGGAGAGGCTGCTGGGACAGACACTCAGGGTGGTCATAACCCTGCTGCGGCCTGAGCCAAACCATATGGAGCAAGAAACTATGTGAAGCAGAACGTGGTGGAAACTGGTGGGGAAAAAGGGCCGGAAGGATGGGCAGGGCCGGCTAGGCTCTGACAAAGGGTGAGAAGCTTACAGGCTGGGGAAGGCTGTCTCCAAGGGCTCTGGAAGCCAAGCTGCTGGTGGTCCTGAAGCCGGAACCGTGTAGGCTTCCAGCACTACCAGCTGCCTCCGTGAAGGATTTGGAGTTAAGATGCTTGTTACAACCCTTTGGCCAGAACCGAAGTTCGACTAGGATGGGATCAGCTGGGCAGCTTGGGAGTTAAGTACCATCCTTGCGATGAGAACGAATCGCTAAGGGGTGTGTTAAAAATACAGATTCTCGGGCTTCGCCCCAGTGGAGGGTGGGCAAGAGGCTAAGGAATATACACTCAGAGTGCTCCCTCTGGTGCAGCCAGCCTGGCACCAGACTAGGCAGCCGCAATTAAGAGCCACTCCCAAGCCTCAATCACACGCCAAATTACTTAACATGAAATCACAGTGTAAGAGCAGAAGAAAAGCAAATCCAACCCCTTTAACTTAAAGATGAGGAAACAGAGGTGTGGTGAAGCGGCGTACCTTACCAGAGGTCCCACGGTGTCACAGAGACAGAGCCTAGAATGCTGACCACCCACCCCGGCCATCGCTAGAAACTCCAGATCCGCTGCTGGGTGGGTGGCAGGTTTTTGTAATGGAAAGAGACCAGAACAAGTGGGCCAAAGGTTCCGTTCCTCAAATAACTACGTAAAGCCAAGCTGCTCTAAATGAGGCTCCAGCCAGAAGCCACCCTAATTAACCTAGTGGCAATTACCAGAATTAGAAGCTGCAGACCACAAAAACTTAGCCAGTCTGTTTAACCTCTTTCTACCCATCCGTAACATAGTGCCAATGGGCTGGACCACGAAACAACACACCTTCAGAATCACTTTGAATTGCTCGATATTTGATGATATAAATGCATATTTCATGCCATGGAAAGCAGTCCACAATCCATTAAGTGAAAAAAGTGATTATGTGTGTGGGGTGTGTGTGTGTAGAGAGAGAGACTAAAAGTGTTATGCCTGGAAGGTGAGTTATAGAAGTTTTCTTTTTACCATTAACTTTTGGTTTATTTGTATTGTCTACTTTCTCGACAATAAATATATGACATTTATGTAATAAAAATATATCTGTATTGAGCCCTTCCAAACACACAGCCACGCAAAGCTGGAAGGGCTCAACACTGATCACATTTTTATCAGTGTTTTTAATGCTAATGACCGTTGCTCTTATTATATCCATAAGCATCTGCCTAATCAACTAGCTACCTGTGACGCATCATTCAGGATACCCTGTCCCTGGTCATCAACAAGTTCTTTATATCTGAGTGTGGCCCAGTTACCTCCTAAGGCCAGAGGGCTTAACGTGGCATCAGACCCACAGTGAGGGATCAGGTGCTGAAGCAGCAAATCCACCTGCAGTTGCTAGGAGGCAGCTGAGCCCAGAGGTTGACTATGGTATCCAGCGAGCACCTAGCATGGGAAGGTGCAGCAGGAGGTAACAAGGTGCTCTGGAAGATGGGGATCTCCCTGTGCATGACCCTGAGCAGGGACCCACAAGACACCAGGTGAGCTGCCAGTTAAAGGCAAGACACTACTTCCTGGGGAGGAGAGAGACCTGGCCAGAGAAATGCAAGCCTCACAGAGTCCAGATACGGAAGTGGGCTACTGAGACAGAATTATGGTACAGGTGAGGAACACAGATGCCTGGGGTGATAATGATGACGATGGTGTTGAGAATAGCTAACTTTTATTGACACTTACTCAATGTCAGCCACTCCCTCATACGATTTATGTATATTTGCTCATTTAATCCGCACAACCACTGTTACATCCATTTTACAGATGAGGAAGCCAAGGCAAAGAAAAGTTAAATGAGCTGCCCAAGGCCGCAGGGGGAGTCAGGATTTGAACCTAGAACCCACGACAGTAACCACTATGCCACAGTGCCCCTCAAGAACGTGTGGGTAGCAAAGTTAATTTGCAATGGGCCCTCAGACAAGAGGGCCGTAAACTTCTTCTCGCCTATTGTCAGGAGACGTCCTGGAGAACAAGTTCAGATTCAGCCTCTGAGGCCTACTGAAGTGACCCCAGCAACAAGGATCAGGGAGCCGTGGATTGAGGATGAAAACCAAGGAGGGCTGGGGAATTTCTGTTTCATGTCTCTTTGGTAGATTACATCTGTTTGTATTTATACTATTATCAGTATAAGATCTCCTCTCATTTTAACAGACTCTCTGAAGTTAAAACTTCCAGGTTACAGATCATTTTACATTTGTTATACTTTAAGTGGGTTGTTTCCTGATGCCATAGACTGAGTCACCCTCACCTTATCAGTAACTGTCTCTATATTACACTGTGAGTTGGCTTTGGGCAGATTTCCTGCAGACAGCTGATCCTTTCTATGGGCACGGATTCTTATAATCTTCAGGCCAGAAAACTGAAACAAGGGAAAAGCCATGTAGATAGAGATCAGGCTCATTCGGGATGGGGCCAGCTAAGACTGGAGCTTTATAGCCAAGCAATGGCCCTGGGAGATAACCTCCCTTCAAATGACTCCTTTCCACCACAGAGAGGGAGGGATATTCCCACTGGTCTCTTATGGGAAGAAGAATAAAGATTTACTTTAATATAATGAGCTGAATCCTGATAAAGCACTTCAGGCCCTATCCAAAGTTCCATCTAGACAACTGCCTGGAGTTGCTATGAGTCACAAAGAGTATTATGGAAACTCTGACTATGTTTCTAGTGACCCTGGTTAATCTGAGATGACAACTGCCCGCCCGCACGTAACTTCACTGCTCAAGAGGCCGCTGTCGGTGATCACACAATTGACTTTCAGTAATTAATTACTTTCAGTTCCCCAGGAGACTGAAGAGTATCATCCCCGATGAAGATGACACCAAGGAACATGACCTTGGGGTCTGCCTGGGTCCAATATGCATTTTTGTTTTTACCCTTTGCATTGCTCTGGATTCAATCAAAAGACCGGCTACCATAGCAACACATGATGTATTTAACATCACCAGAGTGAAAAAAAAATCTAAAGAAAAAAATCTAGAAAATGTCCCTGCACTACCATGAGAAAGTGGCTATGTGACCTTGAGCAAAGCAGTTTGCTCTTCTAAACCTAAATGACTGCATTTCAGTAACAAGCCCTGCACCACTCCCCTCACCCCCTAACCCAGGAATTCTGTGAGGAGTAAACTAGTAATATATTAGTTTCTAGCTCATAGTAATGCTCAATAAATGTTAGCTGAATTGGAATCTAAGAAGACATCAAAGGTGAATCGAGCAGTTCCAGAAGCTGTTAGGTGCCCGACAGGTAGGTGTTCTGAGCAAACATTTCCTTCTTTTCTCTTCTACAGATGGAAGATGGGCTTCATTTCCCATCATCTTGTTATATGATATAGAATCATATAACCATGGACCACAATTTCTTACAAGTTATCCAGCACAGTTTTCAAATATGTTTAATATCTGCTTTCTCAAGTCACTTGGAAC